GTGCCCTGCGATTGGCTGGCAACCGGTTCAAGGTGTCCCCCGCCTACTGCCCAAAGACAGCTGGGATAGGCTCCAGCACGCCCTACAACCCTTAATTGTGAGGATAAAGCGGGTCAGAAAATGGATGGATGGATAAACACATGAGGAAAAACCTGCTGGAAAAAAAAATTTACAAATTGAACATCTACAAGAGACAACAAAAGAAGTTGGCATCTACTGTGAAGCTTGTGGATATTTTCTATTGTCTTATTTTTAATCCATAGAGCTTTTGTGATGCCACTGCCGTTATATGAGACAGCCCCACCTCATATTTTCTTTTCTCGTTGATTGATGAAGTTGTTGAAATCAGTCACATTGGTTCCCCTCGGAGGTATGTATATGCTTATTCAAACAGTACTGCAATAGGATTGCTCATTTCATGTTTTGTGGAATATAGCAGCATCCGATCCCACCAGCATTAAACTACATGCAATTTAAATAACTGAATTTGATGTGATTTTTAATTTCAAATTTCCATAACAAACCAGATGTGTCTATTGTGTCAATGCCACACAAGTATAAAGAGATGACCATTTTTAAACTAAAAAAGAAAAGATTTTTAACTACCTGCAAATTACCGTTGGGGCATTTGTCTAACTCCCTTTCCAGAGGTTACAATTCTATTGTATATTGTAGACACATGCATCAACCATTGATGAGAATTCAAAATCTAATTTATCTCAACAAACATTTGCAGACTCTGGCATAGCTAAATTTAACGAAATGATGATCCTAGTCCCCTGGTGCCCACAACCGACGTATGCCTTAGGTGGGGATAGGGTATTGACTGAAATCAGTTGTCGTCCCATTTCCCTATTGAGGTTGTTCAACATCAGGAGCAGCCATCAGATGCTACGGCTGATTGGTCAGCTTTAAATGATGGCCGAGGGCAGTGCTACCTGAGTTTGTCCACTGTCTGCTTAGAGTCTGAGCTCAATTGGCTCATCATAGGCACGTTGCATTTGTCATAAAGTGGGATACATTAATAAACCTCAAACTCCCTACTCAACTCCATTTTATTTTACAGCACTTCAACAAGCACAACTGGAACAATGTGTAACTTGGAAATCAAACATAAAACAAACTACCGGTATAAGAAATACACGGACAATTTCATTACAACAACATAAAAAATAACAATAATAAAATAATAATACATTTTTTTAATGATAAATGACTCTTTCATATTGACTTTT